TTAAGGGCACACCTTCCTGTTTGTTGTCCAGCTGCTTGGCCTCTTTTGGCCTCAGTTTCCTTATGGATAAAAAAACCCACAATGTCCAACTCACAGAGTAGCAGAGAGAATGAAAAACAAATGTGTGCAGAATGCTTGGCTCACAAGAAGCACAATAAATTGCTGCTGCTATCAGTATTCCTAGACACAGCACTGGCTCCCACAGCATGAAGCCAAAGCTGGGCATACAGTAAATCACTGAAAAAATATAGGTTTTTGGGTATTTCTCATATCTTCCAGGTTCCTTGGATATTTCTACCCATTCAACAAACATTTGAGCAGTTTCTATTTCATGTCAGGCTGTTCAAAGGGGTGAACCAAACAGAAAAGTTGTCTACTACTCACTACATAATGCTATGGTTGTCACCCCCTAACTTGCCTTCCTTCCTAATACAAAATTAGAAGGCAGGCACTCTATCTAGGCAAATTTACCAACATATTAAACATCTAACCTTAATGTCACTACAATTATTTTATCACGTTTTTGCAAATCAATGCAGTCTGAAAATGATTTCTTTTTTTAACCTGTAAAAATAGGCTGGTTGGAATTATGATTGTGAGGCAGGATGTTAAGCTTCCACCTGCAATAAGTTACAAATACAAATTTCAAAACACATGCTTTCACTATGTGATTAACTGAGGCAAATTCTACTATGGCCTTGCTTGAGTGTTGATTGTGCAGAGGGGCTTGGGGAAATGTACAGGCTCTTCGTCAGCATACCCCATCTGTACAAAGCATTAGGCATGGTGTAGAAGAGATATTCCAGACTGTCCATGCCAACCAAGGATGAGAAACGGTAAATGAGAAGTGGGGAGAAACAATACCAGGGTTCATGGTAAAAGGAAGAGTCCCGCCTTAATATGTTGACCATGCAGGTATACTAAGGACTTGTCTTCCTTTTTGCCAATGACCCAGCAGGCTGGTTCACCACACTAATGAAGTAATACCTGATTCAGTGCCCACAGGTCACAATTATCTAGGCTATGAGCCCAGCAAACAGATGAGTGTCACCCACAGAAGTGCCTGTGGGGTGCATGAACTACTGTGCCAAGGGACCTGCTATGGAGACTATCTGGGGGGATGAGCCACATCAGTGCCAAGGAGTGTCTGAAGCAACACATGAAGTTTATCTGAAATGAGACAACTTGGGATCCCCCTTCAACACAGCATCTAATAGTGACCACTTTGATGTGGATGGCCAGATGTGGTATCAGCTTGTGGAAAGTGGATGAAGAGGTGTCAGGCAGAACAGCACCTGATGGCACACCTTTAGCTTCATAGTTCTGAGTGACAAGCACAGCAGGAAGCTGCTGCTGTGAACACTCCATTGCGTGGATGTACTTGGGTATTTTCTAGAGTGTTGAGGGTCTGCACAGCTTAACTTCAGGTGCTATGACCATCAGGGCCAGGAGAGTTGGTTTGGACTATTGTAGGACTCCTCTTAAAATAACAGAGGGGTGAGCATTGGGGAACAGCATGTAAGATGGCTCTTTCGAGACCCACATCCTATATTAGAGTGTGTAGGTTTGAGTCCCACTCCACTTCCAATCCAGCTTCCTACTAAAGTGCACCCTAGGAGGCAGCATATAATAGCTCAGATACTTGAGTCTGTGCCATCCACACTGAGTTCTGGGATTTTCACTTCATAAAACCTGATGTTTTCACATCACATCCTGGCTGAATTCCAGCTATTGTGAATATCTGGAGAGAACAATGGATGAGAGATCGCTGTGCCTTTAATGTGAATAAAATTAATTTTCAAAATTTAAATAAACCCCCTGCATCCATGTGGTCAGACTGGGACTATTCCAGTTGGGCCCCTTCCCTGTGGGGATGGCAGCAGCATAGGACTAATTGAAAAAATGCCTGAATACCTCAGTGGCCTCCTTTTCTCAGTTGTGCATCATTGTTTGACATACGAAGTTCATGATGGAGTGTTATTTTCCAGATCACCAACACACATTGCAGCAAAGGAACACCTTATGTTCATCCACTCTGCATGGAGGACCCCATCAGCTCTGCTTCCCAGATGATACGAGTCTCTCATGTGGGTTACAGGTACCCACATACTTCAGCCATCACTCCCTCCAAAAGTGCATATTAGCATAAAGCTGGAATTGAGAGTTGTGACTGTAACCTAGGCATGTCAATATAGGATGTGGACATACTAAGCAGGGTTGTAACACATGCCAAATGTCAATCCCTCAGTGAATTTTTGAAGTGCCTCTGTATATCCAAGGCTTTCAGAGAAAGGAGACAGAGCCTTCTGGGCCCTGCCCCTTTACTACATAGTTTCTGCTTCTCCCCAACATTGCACACTGCTTCATGTGTCTCTCTCTGTGCATGCTCACTTCTGAGGTCTCTTCATGCAGACAGGGAAGAGCAGCAGAGCACAGAAGAGTGGGTCTGGGAGACAAGGCAGATTAGGGAAAAACTGGACTGTGACAGTTTCTGCCTGGATCCTGCCACTTAGTGTTTAGTGACCACATCTGAAGCAGAGGAAAATTGTTCATCTACATGCCAAAAACTGAAATATAATATCTTTATATTACCCCAGGCATGAAAGTCAAATCAAAATGAATTGAAGGCTTACATAAAAGGTCTGAGAATATAAAACCCCTTACAAATGGAAGCAAATTCATTGATATTAGTCTCAACAATGATTGTTTAGATATGACACTAAACGCATAGGTGACAAAAGCAAAGACTGAAAAAAATCTAAGAAATATTCTGCATGTGATAGGAAAAACAGAACAGATGAAGTAAGAAATGAAGAAAACATTGGACAACCTGGGTTTGAACACAAACAACTCAAAAACAAATATTGTAATAAAAATTGCACAAAGGATTGATCAGTTTTCCATTGAATATATACAAGTAGCCAACAGGTAACTTAAAAGGGATTCAGAAACAGCTAATGAAGACTACAATGCTAATTAAGACCACAGTGATTATCATCTCATATGTGTTAAAACAATTATCCAAAAGTAAAAAGATAACATTGGCCTAGGGTGAAAAAAGGAATATAAAAATTGTTGCTGAGAAAGTAAATTGGTACATCCAATACAGAAAACATTATGTAGGTCTTCAATCAAAATTAAACATAGAACATATGACAAAGCAATCTCACAACTGCGTGTATATCCAAAGGAAACCAAATCAGTATCTCAAATAGATACCTTTATCTCCACATTACTGGCAGCATTATCTACAAGAACAAGATATGGAGACAACCCCATTGTCAACATATGAATAAAGAAAATGTGATAAACACACATACACAGGAATCACAGACAACCTTAATAAGGAAATTCTTCCATTTTGTCAGGATGTGGATCCAAAAATATGAATGTGGACATTAGGCTATTTGAAATAAGGCACAGAAAGATAAATGCCACACAATATCACTCATATGTGTAATCTAAGAAAGTCGCACTTAATCACAGAATAGAATGGTGGTTGTCATGGGCTGAGAGTGAAGGACATGGGAAAATGTTAGCTGAACACACATTTGCAGCTATGAGATAAATTAACAAAATTAACACCTCAAGACCTTAATATTCAACACAGTAAACAGTTGGTTATGATATCACATACTCACAACTTGCTAATATCTTCCATATTCTTTAATAACATAGGGATGTAATGTGATGGATATATTAGATTGTCTTAATCATTTCATAATGTATATGTACAAGAGGATTCCAGAAAGTTTATGAAAAAATGTAATCAAAAGATAATGTGAATTGTCCATAACTTTTTAATGTCCCTCACATAGCAAAACATCAGTTTTCATACCTTGATGATACACAAATTGTGTCAGTCATACTCTGACAATCTTGAAAAAATTAAACAAGCAAAACTAAACAGGCTCCTATATTAAAATATAAATCCAAAATAACTTAGTAAACTAGACATATCTACAGGATTTGGAAGACTTTCATGCAAGAAAAATCATTTTTAAAACACACATAAATTTGAGTGGTCAAAATTTCTATTTTGAAAGTGCACATAGAGATGGCACCCTGTACAGAGAAAGTGCAAGTGCTAAGACGTTGCCCAAGTACCAAATTACAGGGTCTTTCTGCTTCTCTAAAACCTGGGTGAAAACCCCAAGCCAAATAAAACTTCTGTCTCTACCTTACTCAGTCTATGTTACTGTGATATTGGAAACATATGAAGGAGTGAGACATCCTAGAAACAGCTGTGTAAAGAGGTCAATGCCCTGGAAAGTACCCTGCAGGCCACATATTGAGAAAACTCGAGGGAACCAGGTCCCTGTGGGGAGGGAAGGAGGAACCGACAGCGCCTGTCCCGCATGAACCACATACACAGAGCCCACATTCTCCCTAGAGACCACCCAGTCCCCACTGCACAATCGGGGGAGACGTGGAGCTACTGCCACACAGCTGGCCTGCTATGGCTCCGGGCTGAGAAGTCTCACCCAAGCAGGGAAGGGGCAGGACCTCGGGGGTGCTGGGTGCCGGTAAAACCCCCAACCCACGGGTCTGAGGGGACCGAGGGGAAGCCCTGTGCCAGCGCCAATATGGAGCCCACAGATGCCGGAGGCCTGTGTCCTCCTGGCCTTCGGCTCCGTTTTCCCCTCTCGGTACAACCAGGTCCACACACTCACCATGTCGCGGTTGTCAGCTTCCTAGGTGCCCAGCGTCCCTGGTGAGTGAAGGTGGAGAGCTGCAGAGGTCGACTTCGCTTGGGAGCCTCCTGGCGGCGGAGCTGTCTCCCAGGAGTTCACTCTGCAGGCAAAACTCTGAGAAGATTGTGACGTCCAGGCCCCGCGTGCTGATGCACTGTGGACGTCACCTTGCCTGATTGGACAGTTTGCCAGCCTTGAGTGCACGGAACGTCACAAAGCACGGAGCCAATCAGCGTCCCCCATAGCAAGGACCCCTAACTTCAAGTTGTCCTGGATGGGAACAGCGAGAGACAGACCTGGGTTCAGGTCTGAAATGGCCGCCCCTGGGCTCTGCCTCCCCGCGGCTGGAGGGCTCTCACCTCCGAGCTCCTGCTACCCACTGGCCTCGCCCTGGGTCCCCGTCCTTCTCCCTGCGGATGCTGCCTGGAGCTGGCGGTAACCTGTTGCAGTGAGTTACAGTTCTGTTTATCCGCTTCCGGCGCTTTCGTTTTCCTTGTATTTCTGCTCATTCTGTTGGGTCGTTTGTATTACTTATTGATTTGAATAACACTTAGATGTAACATAATTTACTCTTTTTTTTTCTTTTCTTCTGTTTTCTACTCTGCCTATTGATCTTTTATATTTTCTAGTTATTTCTTGCTGGCACTTGGTAATCTAATGGATTTTTAAAACATTGATCTTTCCCACAACATTAAATTCATTTATCAGTTTATTTGTTTTTAGATTTTATGGATTCTCCCTAAATAAATATCTCCAATATATTGGCAATTTATTGTTAAGAAATTGATCTTTACATCTTATTTTATTTCTTTTTGCTCTCCCCCTCGCCCCCAACTACTCCTCCAATAAGAAGTTGGCACTAGTGGAGACTTCCTGGTCTAGGTTTACTTCCAGGGTAAAAGCTGTCAATGATTCTGTATTAATCATGGTTTTCGTTGTAGGATCCTTTTAAAAATTTTGATCTGAATAAGAAAGCCATTGCTCTTTTTTACTATACTGCAAGCAGTTTTTAAAAATTACATGCTGATTTTTAAATGTTTTTGAACATTAAATTGTCATGTGATTTTCTCCTTGAATTTTTCACCTACCTGGAAAATTTACATGACTTGTTAAGAAATGTTAACCACCTCTTGTATTTTTTATTATATGTGACTTGTTATTCATTACATTTTCATATGCGATTTCATTTATTATACAAATACTAAGGATTTATACATCTGTATATGAAAGAGAGTTTATACTTAATTTATATTGAAAGTTCTTAATTTATATTGCATCATTATCAATGTAATGCTGGCTTTCTAAAAGAAATCTGAAAATATGCTTTGCTTATTTATACTTTGATACATCTGAGAAATATAGGTGTTTTTTATTTCTTAAATGTTTGAAATATTTTGTGTTTCTATAACTGAAGTTTTGTTTCTCTAACTGTTTTATTGGCTGGTGGCCTTCAAACTGGGATTCAACTTGCTTGTTTTAATTTGGAGTTTTCCTATTTTATACTTCTTATATTGGATTTTAGGAATTTATATTTGTGTTTGTGTTTGGGAATTTGATTTTCAAAGTATAGTGGATTTTTATCTCTAGTCAAGTTTTTATCCCAAGAGTTTTTTTTTTTTTTTTTTTGACATGCAGAGTTAGATGGTGAGAGAGACAGAGAGAAAGGTCTTCCTTCCATTGGTTGACCCCCCAAATGGCCGCTATGGCCAGAGATACACCATTCCAAAGCCAGGAGCCAGGTGCTTCCTCTTGGTCTCCCATATGGGTGCAGGACCCAAGGACTTGGGCCATCCTCCCCTGCCTTCCTGGGCTACAGCAGAAAGCTGGACTGGAAGAGGAGCAACCAGGACAGAATCCGGTGCCCCAACCAGGGCTAGAACTCTGGGTACTGGTGCTGCAGGCGGAGGATTAGCCTAGTGGGCTGCAGCGCTGGCCTTACCCCTAAGAGTTTTACAATATTTTTTTCTGATCTTGACAAAGCTCTTTTCTCTGTAAACAATTGTTTTAATACATGAAAATGGACACTAGTGTTACTTTTCCCTGTGTTTCCTCAATTACTTTTACTCATAGTTTATTAATTTTGTTAAAATTAAAAAGTATATCCTGGGGCTGATGCTATGGCATAGTTGGTAAAGCCACCACCTGTAGTGCTGGCATCCCATATGGGCCCCAGTTCAAGTCCCAGGTACTCCCCTTCATATCTAGCTTTTTGCTATGGCCTGGGAAAGCAGTAGAAGATGGCCCAAGTCCTTGGGCCCCTGCACCCATGTGAGAGACCTAGAAGAAGCTCCTGAATTCAGATAAGGGCAGCTCTTGCTGTTGCAGCCCTCTGGAGAGTGAACCAGTAGATGGAAGACCTTTTTCTCTCTCTGCCTCTGCCTCTCTGTAACTCTGCCTTTCAAATATATAAATAAATCTTAAAAAATATTTCCAGAAATGAATGAAAAATCTGTCCCAGGTTGCTCCTCTTCCAGTCCAGCTCTCTGCTGTGGCCCAGGAAGGCAGTGGAGGGCGGCCCAAGTGCTTGGGCCCTGCACGTGCATGGGAGACCAGGAGGAAGCACCGGGCTCCTGACTTTGAATTGACTCAGCTTGCCGGCCATGGGGGCCATTTGGGGGTTGAACCAATGGAAGAAAGACCTTTCTCTCTGTCTCTCTCTCTCACTGTCTAACTCTGCCTGTCAAAAAAATAAATCTATGAGTGTGTGTGTGTATATATATATACACATATATGCATATATTATTATATTATATATTATATAGTTATACAATATATAACATAGTTATATAGTTACATAACATATATAATAATTATATAATTTATAATAACATATAATTATATATTAGAATATATCACATTAGACTATATATTATATATCTTAACTATAATATAATATATAATATAATAACTATGTATAATATATATATAATTATCAGCAAACTCAGTAAGATGTTTATTTAAAAATTGAATAAATACAAATTAAAGTATGTGTTTTTCATCAGATTCAAAACAATTATTGCAACTGTTGACATTTTGACATATATGAGGCAATGGCCATTGAATAGAATGTGAATTTGCAAAAGAAATTGGTGATGTGTACCAAAAGTCTTAGCAATACAGATTATGTTATTATATACTCTTGTCCCAAATAAGCACTTCTTAAAAAAATCTTTCTTTGGAAAAATAGGTTTCAGAAGTGTCTATGGAAACTTTTTCTTAGGGAAACTTGAGGATAGAAAAGTAAATATCTAACAGTACAGTATTCATTAAATAGTATATGATAAATCCATATGAAGAAACATAGTTTAGCTATAAAATATATTTACATTATTAAGCAAAAAAAAAACCCTTGCAAAGCAGGATGTATTATATATATATCTCCACTATTTTTCAAAAACATGCTTATTTATTTTTTAAATATTGATTTATTTATTTGAAAGAGTTACACAGAGAGAGCAGAGGCAGAAAGAAAGAGAGAGAGAGAGAGAGGTCTTCCACCCACTGGTTCACTCCCCAATTGGCCGCAATGGCCAGAGCTGCGCTGATCCCAAGCCAGGAGCCAGGAGCTTCCCCTGGATCTCCCACAAGGGTGCAGCACTTGGGCCATCTTCCACTGCTTTCCCAGGCCATAGCAGAGAGCTGGGTCGGAAGTGGAGCAGCCAGGTCTTGAACTGGTGGCCATATGGGATGCCAGCGTTTCAGGCCAGGGCGTTAACCTGCTGCACCACAGCACCAGCCCCCAAAACATGTTTATACAGATACATTTCCTCAAGCCTGTGTTACGTGAGCGAAGCCATCTGTTTGACTCACATAAGCGTACCTTAAAAAGATTGTGGAAATGGAATTAAAAGTTAAATTTATTTTGGTTCAAAACATGTTGAAATTTATATATACATGGGTTATTTAAAAAGTTCATGGAAAACATGTATTATGAGAAATACATATTTCAAATGTTATGCACCAACACAAACTTATCTTCTACTTCTATTTCCCATGAAATTTTGAAATCCATCAGAAAAACATGGTGTTCCTGGGAAATATCTGGCCATTATTTAATATATTGTAGAGATGCTAAATCTGCCTGAAGTTACTAAGAAAGAGTGTGGTCGTGATTAGACACCTTTTCATTTAACCTCTCTGCGTTGTAACCGATCGGCACATTTAAAGAAACTATTTCCAGGTGTTGTGCAATCTGTGATACCGAAATCAGAGCAGAGAGTGTCTTCTTGACGCGGCGGCTCACCGGCCAGAGCCCTAGGGCCAGTTGAAGGGGCTGCCCGCCAGCAGCGAGTCCCGGGTGAGCATCTGGGCGGGCGTCTTGCCCACCAGGCGCAGCAAGTGGAGCTGCGCAATGAGGGGCGCCTGGAGCGCGCGCAGGGCCGGGCGCACTGGGGCTGGGACGGGTACTGGGCGCGCAATACTCCATGAGAGCCACCTGCGCCTGCTCCTGCAGCCTCTCAGCGCGCGCAGAGGCCGAGAGCGCCATGACATTGAGGCACCGGGCTCCACGGAGTCCCCCTACAGGCGGCCCAGCTCCTCCACCTGCTCCTGGTCCAGGAAGGCCGCGCGCGCTTGGCCGGCAGTGGCGCCCTGTGCAGGCAGGGGCAGCGCTAAGAGCAGCCGCGCCGCCAGCGTTCTCACCTGGTCCATGCCCAGCGCCGCGCCGCCGCCGCCCGCACCTGCCGCGCCCACAGCTGCACCGGGAACAAGCCTCTGTCCGCCGCCACGCCAGCACCCAGCCAGGAGGGCTGCAGGAGGAGGCGGCCAGCGCTGCCGGGCAGGGATTACGGGATGCGGCCGCGCTGCAGCGCTGCGGGGCGGCAGGAGGGAGAGAGAGAGAGAAGGGCAGGGAGAAGACAGCCAGAGCTAGGCTCTCTCAGAGTCCCCCCACCCCAGCTCCGGGAGAGCCCGGGTGGGGAGGGGGCCTGGGGTCTTCCCCAGGTGGGACTGGGAGCTGGGGCCTCGCCCGCAGCAAGCAGGTGAGGTGGGAGGAGGGAAACCGAGGCAGGGAGGGCTGGCTGCCAGGCAGGGCAAATTAAGGAGCCTTAATGAGCCCGCCCACCTGGCCTGATCGAATCCATGAGCTCCAGCCCTAGGCCGGCCTCACGCAGGGCACATTACCAGCCCTGGAGGGGACTAGGGGCTGGAGGTGGGGCTGAGTCCTGCGGGGGTGGGGGTCAGCTGTGCAGTAGGAGTGGCCAAATGGGGCCCAAAAGTGCTGCCCTGGTTATAAGCCCCGCCTGCACCACTCCTCCCCCCATCCTACCCCAGGGCCTTTGCACCTGCTCACCCCCCCTTCTTCAAACCCCCACCCCCAACTCTTCCTCCTCCAGCCCAGGCTGGGGCATGGGGTTCAAATCCCACCCACAACTCCCTCTTTAACACCAACCCCCGAATTAACAAATCTGCTTTAGAGCAGTATTGGCCATGGAGGAAGGGCTACCCTGGTGGCAACTGAAGCCATGGGCTATTTACTGAGGGCCAACTGTATGCAGGGACCCTGGGGCACAACAGTGCACAAGACAGAGAGTCCCTGGAGAAGTCATTGGGTTCCAAAGCAAAGTAAGGGGTTGTGAGCTGTGATGGTGGGAGGCCGCGCATGGGGTGGGGGATGCAGCACTTGGCTGTAGGCGCGCCCACCTGAGGGCCGGGCCAGCGGGATTTCAGATCAGCCACGTGAGAAGAGGGGGCACAGGTGAACCCCCCCAAACTGAAGGGAGTGGCTTTTCCAAGGGGCTCTGAGCCGACTTTATCAGCTTCCCTCACAGACCCAGTGAGGGGGGAGGACTTCGAAAGCGCGAGAGACTGGGGTCAGACCCTGGGAAGAACCGGCAGACAGAAAGCAGGTATGGGGTGCGCATTTATCCTGAGGCTGGAACCCCACCCCCACCCCTACCCCGAGACCACTGCCGCCCCCCCCCCCTTGTGTGGAGCCTGGAGAAACTGCAGGGCATTGGCGTTTAGGGCCACGCTGCTTGGACTGTGTCTGCCCTGGGCCAGGCTGGGGCTTCTAGGGGAGGGAACAAGAGTGGGGTCCCCATGGGCTCAGGCTGCCCGGCTCCTGCCTTAAGCAAACAGAGGCAGGGGTGGGGGCAACGGAAACCAAATAAATGTGTGTATGTGCGTGTGTTGTTTGTGCGTGTGTGTGCATGTATGTGTGTGTCCATGTATGTGTGTGTCTGTGTATGTGTGTGTCTGTGTATTTCTTCAGGACGCAGTGGCCAGGCCTGGGCAGGGGACCAGGCCCTGGCCACAGCTGTAATTGGATTCCTGCGCCAGTACAGGGTGCAATGGCCCTGGTCTTGTGGTTAGCAGGTGCCAACCCCGGGCCCCACCAGCCGACTGCAGGGAGGATGGGGGCCGCTCACCCTCCTTCCGCAGGCCTCCCCCACCAGCTGCAGCGGGCTGGGGTGCCATTCACCCACCTACCGCACGCCCCCCCTAGGCTGCAGCGGGGCTGGGGGCCACTCACCCTCCTTCTGCACAACCCCCCCGGAAGCACTTCTTGAGCCGGCAGGACTGGCACTGGTCACGCTGATGTTGGTCCATCTGACAGTCCCAATTGGACCTGCAGGTGTAGCAGTGTTAGGAGCCGATTGTCTAATGAATATACAGGGTGTGTGTTTTTAAAGCCTGATAATTTTAGACATAACTTTCTCCACGTTTTATATTTCTATATTTTAGTTTTCATGTATCCATTTGAAAGGCAGAGAGTAATTCTACTGTGTGTGTGTGGCAGGAACCCAATTCCTTGAGCCCTCCTGTGCTGCCTCCCAGCGTCTGCATTAGCAGGAAGTTAAGACAGAATGGAAACAACACTCAGAGGCCCTCATTCCATTGTAGCAAGGTTGTCTCAAGGGGATTCTTAACCACTTGGCCAAATGCTAGCTCCTGCTTACTACTTTTTAAACACCACTCTCTTACATTACATAGGCCCAGGATCACAAAAATTACCAATTCCAATGTTGGCAAAGCCAATGAAAGTGGAGCTCTTACAAAAAAAAAAAAAAATGAAAGCCTAACGAATTATTTAATTAGAAGTATTAGCTTGAATAAAATAATAGTTTGAGTTTCATGTTTCATCAGGTTAGATAAGTGATGGATTTTCAATATCAATATACACTGAACATAAAAAAGATGAAAAATATTTTCAACCATCAATATTACACATTTGCAAAAGCAGTGGATGCTTGAATAGTTCTACAAAAATGTGTTCCAAAATCATGTGATTAGTCTTTAAATAAAGGAAATGAATGTTTATCTCAATGAACCATTTCCAAAAGGGCAGAAATACAAAATAAAGCCCCTAACATGAACTGGATATGACAATAATTATCTTTGAAAATTCATGTTTTAAGAACTGTTTCTGAAAACTATATTTTTTAAAAAGTAAACAATATTTTAAAGGGGAATTACTAACCATCATATAATAAAATATTTTCTGGAATTCTTGATCACAGTTTGAAGCCAGATTTAATTTAAAAAGTTACTAAAGGTGGGAAATAAGGCATACAAGAAAAACTTTTTAATTTTTAAATGTATCTATATCTTTAAGCATATCAAATGTCAAAATGAGATTATTGAGAAAACACATGGTAATAGAGAATTATTAGATTTATTTCAAAAATTCTTATTGAATTTTTATAGGCTCTCAAAACTTGATGTAGCAATCTATTTTTTCTGGGACCACTTTTGTTCCTTTGTCCACTCCTGTTAGCATTATTTGGCAAAAGTTGAACGTTGAGGTACACGTGAGAGAATTATTACTCAATTTTCCTGGCCAGTTTTAGGTAAGAAATCAGGAAACAACCACAACCACCACAACAAACACCACTTTCTCAAGAGCATTTGCAGATCAGTTCTGCAGACTTCAAACGTTTTCAGGTTTGGAATGTTTAGACTACCGCTCTCATGCTAAATTCTCTGTGGCTTTCTTTTTATTTCTGAATTGCTTTTTACAAACAGAATGCAGCATAAGGAACTGACAGCAAAATACACTGTTCCCCAGATGGTTCAAATAATAACTATGCCAATTGTTTGTATTTATATTGCAAACATCATATTTTCACCTAAGTATCACTTACCTCAAATGTTAACTGAATAGTTTTATAGAATTGTTTTTTAAGATTTATTTTCTTTGAAAGTCAGAGTTATTCTACAAAAAGAAATAGATATCAATACAAGCATAATTTTTATTCCTTCAAGTGATTGATAGAAAGTATGTTTTGTACCTTCAATTTGAACAGGATCTCCCCAAAATTAAATTAGATAGATTGTTTACCAGTGTGATAAAATGTATCTCACAAAGAGAAAATATGATACAAAAATATAATTTACTGTATTTCTTGAATACTCATATATGTCTTGCTAGACTAAGTTAGAATAGAATCAATATATTTTTGTCAATCTAATCATTCTGAAACAAAATCGAATAATGAGTAATTTGGAAATGTTTATGAATTAGTTTTCTGTTTATTTCTATGGAGGAAGGAGGAATGATGGTAATGTTTCCAAATTCTTCTGGTTAAATGTGGAACAGTTAAAAAATAACATGATATAGTTGTAAGTAGGTCTTAGGCATCCAATCCATGTGCAACCATGCATGACACAAAATGTATTAAGTTAATATAATCATTGACTTCTCTCTCTCTCTCTCTCTCTCTCTCTCTCTCTCTCTTTTTTTTTTGACAGGCAGAGTGGACAGTGAAAGAGAGAGAGAGAAAGGTCTTCCTTTTTCCATTGGTTCACCCCCACAATGGCCAGGAGCCAGGTGCTTCTCCTGGTCCCTTAGGTGGGTGCAGGGCCCAAGCACTTGGGCCATCCTCCACTGCCTTCCCGGGCCACAGCAGAGAGCTAGACACTAGGAAGAGGAGCAACCAGGACAGAACTGGTGCCCCGACTGGGACTAGAACCCAATGTGCCGGTGCTGCAGGTGGAGGATTAGCCTGTTGAGCCACGTCGCCAGCCTATAATCATTGACTGTGAAATAGCGGATGGAAGACCTCTCTCTCTCTCTCTCCCTCCCTCTTTCTCTCTCTCTCCCTCTTTTTCTCTCTCTCTGCCTCTCTGTAACTCTCTGCCTTTCAAATAAATAAATAAATCTTTAAAAATATTTGATGAGAACTGACATATTATTACTGCTTACTACTCATAAGGATCACTACATGCATCATGTTACAGCATATGTGCTACCTGTGCTTTATTTCTAATACACTTTCCCCTCATGTTGTGAACATTATTTCTATGTTATAAATGAGACAATTGAGGTAAAGTTTACATGAACATGACACAGATGGAAACTCTAACCCCAGGATTTAAACACCTATGTCTTTATCTGGCTCCAGAATTGGGGTTTGGTTTTTTTTATTTGAATTCTATCTCAAACTCCTGTTTTTAGAGCATTCAGGATAAGAAGGTAAAGTACAGGATTGTGAAATGTGTGAGCACCATCCATATGGTGACTCTCATTCATGTAATTCCTCGACTTGCTGTGAATGGGTTGGTAAGTGGGGCACTTTTTCCCTGCCCTGTACTTTAGGTAATTACACTACTCAGCCTAATCACCGTGTGAGCTTGACAGTGCAGGTTACATTAGATCTGTTGCACATGAGCTGGGTACTACTCTTGGCTTCACTTCTAAATTTTTGTGTGAATTTGGGAAAACTACGCTTTTCTCTGTCTCAATATTCATATTTCTGATATTGGAATAATGAGGCTTTCAAGATTCTCCATAGGGATATTTTCTCCATTGACCATTCCAGATTGGGAAAAAAAAAAAAAACACATAAGTCATCATCATAATCACTGTCACCAAGACTGAAATGTTCATGCAAAATAATCTTGACAGGAAACAAAAAATGAGAGGAATAGAGTTATTGAAATCCATGCTGATGTTCTTCTCTAGGAGAGGAGGTACAGTAATTCTGTAATACCAGCATCCATCTGTCATGTGCAATTTCACGTAAGAAAATTCTAAGAAGAAGGTGCGGATTTTAGGAATACCACTTTGTATTTAAAAGAAAGTATGTCCGTTGGTTTTCTTTCTCACCATATGACATTTTACCATTTTATTTTTAAAAATTATTTTGTTTTTATTCATTTGAAAGGCAGAATGAGACAGTGAGAGTGAAAGAGATTATCTTCCATCTGTTGGTTCACTCCCCATAACCACAGGAGCCAGGAGTGGGCCATACCATTGTCAAGAGCCAAGAACTCCACCTCTGTCTCCCACCTGGGTGGTAGGGACCCAAGTAATTCATCTATCAACTGATGCCTCCCAGGGTGAGCATTAGCAGGAAGTTGTATAGGAAGTGGAGGTGTTACTGGAATCCAGACACTTCACTACATGGGCATCCCAAACAATGGCTTAACAGGTGCAGCACAACAAATGACTTCCATTTCAATTTTTAAAATAGACATCATAGTGGAAAATAAGAGCCACATACCTATAAATATTAATACACATTTACACATAAATATATGCATATACATTTATATACACATATTTATATGGGGAAAACCTTTGATGATTTTATAGTAATTGTAATGCCTTATATACTATTTTCTTTGAGAGTTACACTGCATATTTGATACCAAAATTCCACAAAGTTAGTAATGGAACAAAAAAGGCAACAGATACATAATGGACACATCTTATAGAAAATGGAAGGACAAGTACAGAACTCCAAAAGTCAACACATTTACATTTCCATTCAAATATACTAAGAAGATTGGAGTGAGTTGAAATAAGAGGAAAATTTGGAGGAGACATGTTTCTTTATCTTCATCTCAAGATGAGCAAACACAATCTGAAAAAATAATTCCAGATTATAAATATTTCTATTAAAATAATGACATCATGGTAGATTTATACATAAAAATTTTTATAGTTCAAGTTAGTATGACTATTAATCCAGCTTCATTGACTGGAATGAAAAAAAATTATTTTTCTACTTTTGATGGCAGCTGAAGTATGAAGTGTCTTCAAACTGTTTAGGGAAAGAGTGTGTTTTGAAAAAAATTATTCACTGTGTTCAAAACTTTTTGCACCAAGATAAACTTTTAATTTTGTTTTCCACAAACTTTTTGAAATTCCTTTGTATATTCATCCAAATGCCTAAGACTTCAGCTTTTCAAAATAAGTATTCTAATGATTTTTAGTGAAAATATACAAGCATGGTACATACAGTATGCTGAATTTACAAACCATATAAGCTATATAGAATGAAAAGAATCCATGTTTTCTTGATGACTTGTGATCTCTATTTATTCATCCATTCACAGGTTCTAAGATGTTACTTAATGTCCAGGTACCAGTACTGTGTAGAACCATGATGAGAGGGATTGAGTGAGGAATGCACAGAAAATAAAATGCAGACCTTGCCCTTAAGGCATTCCCAATGAATAAATGGGAGGCTTGTAAACAACAGATGGTTGTTGGCAATGCATGAGGCTTTCATCAGTGATGAGAATTGTAAAAGGTTAGCTCCATACTCATATTCTACAGAATGTTCCTAAACCATTCACTGTTCTGTGAGTGTCATTAAAAGTCCCCCATCCAAGTGGTGGCCTAAAACTCTATACTGTTGAGCTGTCACATGACTGTGACCACAGAGATTTTCCCTCTGAGAATCACACATCCTTGCCATTGTTAGCATCCTGTGTGCCTTCCACATTTTTTTTACTCCAGTAACCTAGGCTAGAACCTTGGGTTCTAGAAAGTTGACTTACCAAATATATTACATACAGCAAAGCAAATAAACTATTTGAGCATGGTACATGCATTTTATGAGTGCTGATGTTGATTTTATTTGGGGTTCAAGTCAATGATATCTTCTGATCTGCAACTTTTCTGAAAAGTGCTGAATAAAGGAGGGTTTTTAAATAATTCCCTTTTTTCAAGACTGGATTTAAGGTAAGACTGTGTAAAATGTGTCATGTTATGGAGTGTGATTAACAAATTAGATAAAATCAAATCCAAATAGGAATAATGTAGAGAGGTTGTTATTCATGAACTCAAAAATACACGAGCCAAACCTTCTAAGTTATTAATATCTGTGCATGCAGGTGGTATTTTTCAACAAAATCTGCCTAATAAAATAACTAAACCATGAAATAGATTGTTATAGTGGTAAATATTTAAAATCCCCAATTATAGACTTTACTGTTCAGAACATACTACCATGAAGTCTCCTTAGTCAATTAAGTATTTAATATTTACATTGTTTAGATGATCCAATTACTCCTCAAGTAAATAGAAAAATATGTGTTCTCAATCTTGACTCTATTTAATGAAGAAAGCAGCCAAGAGAATTTTGCTTTGAAATTTGTTTCAATGAGTACATTAGAATTTGAGAAACACATTTGCATTTAATGTGTATAATATCTGGTCTCCTAGGTTTACATTAGATTAGAGAAGAAAACAAATTATATATGAATCTATAGTGTCTCATAATTTCCTAAGGTGGCCACAGTGAATTAGGTTAATGGGAAGCTGAATCTATATAATGTCATAATCCATATTTATATTGTACCATAAATGTATGACTTTTGTAGAAACAAGCAACCATAACACCAAACATCTGGATGAAATCTGAAAATTTCAGTGACATATCCAGATATCTCTACACATCTGGAATTTTTAGATTTAATGTTCCAACTGCTTCCATTTTTGTCTGGGCACTTGAAACACTGTAGACACTGTCTAACAAATATTTATTCACATCATAAAGATGTGAAAACATGCAAAGAATCATTGTACAAATACAATTTTCAGATTTAATCATATCCCAGTGACTAAAGCAGCTCTGGCAGTTAATGTAGACAACCCAATGTCAACAGGCCCTGCAGACTTAACCAAGTAGTTCAGCGGCAAAGTGGGGAGTTGAAGTGAAGAATTCGAACCAAGAATGCTTAAGGTAAGGATGAAAAAGAAAGAAAAGAAAGCTTCTCCACTTCTCCTGCCTGCAAGGATAGACATATGTCTGCCTGCCAGTGGGGTCCCTCAGCTAGTTCCAAGCCACCAGCAAACTCTGCTCTGCAGATCTGCAGCTGTGCATTGAGGTTGGGGGTGCTTGATGGAAGGGGTATAGGGACAGAATACATTGCATGACTAACAATTGAAACCCTATTTATTGGGCTGCCTCTTGCCTTTATCATTGATTTTAGCACAAAGCTGGTGATAGATGAATCATTTTTCTGTCTCTATAGTTTTCAGGTCTGAAACTTGTTTTCCCCTTTACAAATCAATCTTGTAAAACAGGCTCTTTGATATAGTCATACAAGTTTTACTATCCCACTTTTTTTGCATTTTTATTTATTTCAAAGACACACATACGGAGAGGGCAACAAAGAGGGATCTCCCACACAGTGGATCACTCTCCAAATGCTAGCTACTGCCAAGGCTGGGACAGGTTGAACCAGGAACAAAGAATTAGTCAGTATATCCCAAATGTGTGGCAGAGACTCAACAACTTGAGATTTCACCTGCTGCCTCCCAGGATGTGCATTAACCAGGAAACTGGAATCAAGAATGGAGGTAGGACTTGAACCCAGTCACTCTAATTTGAGATTGCAGGTGTCCCAAGCAGAGTCTTAATCTCTACACCAAGTGCCTCCCCCCCCCATGCTTTTAAGAAAACTGAATACTCACTAGCTATTGTGAGCCATGGATAAATAACATGTTGAAAAATAAATAACTCTTAGGCTGGCGCTGCGGCTCACTAGGCTAATCCTCCACCTTGGGGCACCCGCACACCAGGTTCTAGTCCCGGTCGGGGCTCCAGATTCTGTCCCGGTTGCCCCTCTTCCAGGCCAGCTCTCTACTGTGGCCAGGGAGTGCAGTGGAGGATGGCCCAAGTGCTTGGGCCCTGCACCCAATGGGAGACCAGGAGAAGCACCTGGCTCCTGGCTTCAGATCAGCGTGGTGCACCAGCCACAGCACACTTGCTGCAGTGGCCATTGGAGGGTGAACCAATGGCAAAAGGAAGACCTTTCTCTGTCTCTCTCTCTCACTGTCCACTCTGCCTGTCAAAACAAAAAAATCAATAACTCTTGTTGTGACAAATAAAATTTGATGTAAGAAACATTAATCTCTTGATATTATTAAAACCAATCTTATGAAATCTCATTCTTCTTTCCAAAAATGAACCAAAGTAATAATTCATGTGATGAGCAGGAATTTGGAAAACATTATGTTGAGTGAAATAAGCCAATCCCAAAGGGACAAATACCACTTGTTCTCCTTGATAGGTGACAACTAACTGAGCACCAAAAAGGAAACCTGTTAAAGTGAAATGAACACTATGAGAAAAGGTGACTTGATCAGCCCTCACCCTGACTGTTGATGAGCAGCTTAATATGTTATCCCTCTTAGTATTTTTTTTGTTTGTTCTACTTAATACTTTTGGTTGAATACTGTAATCAATACACAATTCTTCTTAAGTGCTGAAACTTAACTGAAAAGTGATCGCTGTTAAATATAAGAGTGGGAATAAGAGATGGAAGAGATGTGCAATTCGGGACATGCTCAAGCTGACTTACCTCAAACGGTAGAGTTAGAAACATACCAGGGGATTCGAATTCAATCCCATTGAGGTGGCATGTACCAATGCCATCTCACTAGTCCCAGTGATCAATTTCTGTTCACAATTGATCGTAATGATAGGTACTAAGAACCAAAGGGATCACATAAACAAGAATAGTGTCTGCAAATACTAGCTGATAGAATCAAAAAGGGAGAGAATGATCCAACATGGGAAGTGAGATACACAGCAGACCCATAGAATGGCAAATGTCCTAAAAGCACTCTGGCCTCAGAATCAGCCCTTAAGGCATGCGGATCTGGCTGAAATGCCCATGAGAGTATTTCAGGCATGGAAAGCCAAGACACTCTGGGGGGGGGAAAAAACCTAAATGAAAGATCTCCACGAGTGAGATCCCAGTGGAAAGAATGGGTCATCAAAGAAGGAGGTACCTTTCTCTGAAGGGAGGAGAGAACTTCCACTTTGACCATGGCCTTGTCTAAATATGATCAGAGTCAGTGAACTCAGGGGGCTTCCATAGCCTTGGCAGCTCATGACAAGAGCCTAGGGTGATTACTGATGCCATAAACAAGAGTGTCAATTTGTTAAGTCAACAACAGGAGTCACTGTGCACTTACTCCTCATGTAGGATCTTTGTCCTTAGTGTGCTGTACATTGAGATTTAATGCTATAACTAGTACTCAAACAGTATTTTTCACTTTATGTTTCTGTGTGGGAGCAAACTGTTGAAATCTTTACTTAATGTATGCTAAACTGATCTTCTGTAAAAAAAAAAAATATCGATTCCCAACTTGACTCTCACTGGGATTAAACATGACAATAGGTCTGATCTGATTTCATCATCATTTAAAAAATCATCTATTATTTTTCACTTTATGTTTCTGTGTGGGAACAAACTGTTGAAATCTTTACTTAATGTATGCTAAACTGATCTTCTGTAGATAAAGAGAATCGAAAATGAATCTTGATGTGAGTGGAAGGGGAGAGGGAGTGGGAGAGGGGAGGGTTGCGGGTGGGAGGGACGTTATGGGGGGGAAGCCATTGTAATCCATAAGCTGTACTTTGGAAATTATATTCATTAATAAAAGTTTAAAAAAAAAGAAAAAAAAACAAACCAATGGAGAGGAAATTAAGTAACAAACTATATAGATTCAAAATGAGGGAGAAGAGGAAACTACTAAAACAGGAAACAAAGTAAGATGCTAAATTCAGGTAAAACATATCACAAAATTTTAAATGTAAATTAACTAAGTGATCCAGCTAGAAATCAAATTTCTTATTTAATGGAAAACCAGTTAATTATTTGCTATTTAGGATACAATCCTTAAATGTGTAAGAGTAAAAATGTTGAAAATATACCTACACATTTTGAATAGAAGACTCTCTTGAGATCTGACAAGACAGACTTTCATGCAGGAACTATTACTAGATATATTCAGAGAGATTTCATAATGATATAGTTATCAATTCAGTGGGAAGATATAGAATTCTAAATTCTTATGTAGGTTAATATGGGAAGAGTTTTAGCACTTGTCTTTTTTTTTTCTTAAAATTTTAAGCTTTTTATTTAGTGAGAGAAAGAACTTACCTTCAGAAACAGTAAAGATTCAGGTGAAAACAACAACGAAAATTAAGAACATGCTCATAATTCATATTCATATGAATTGAACATGAGTTTTGCTGCACATAGAATCTTTCATAAAATAAACTTATTAGGGTGAGCGTAGTGGCACAGTAGGTTAAGTCAACACTTACAGTGCCCATGTCCCGTATCAAATGCTTAGTTTGAGTCCCTGCTACTCTTCTTTTCCAGCTTTTATGAATGTGCCCAGGAGACACAGAAAATGGTCCAAGTCTTTGAGTTCCTGCCACCCTTGTGGAGTGAGTTCCTGGTTCCTGACTTTGGCCTAGCCTAGTCCCAGCTGTTGCGGTATTTGGAGTGTGAACCAGCAGTTGGAAAATCTCTCTCTCCCTTTTTCTCTCAATGTTGCTTTTGATCTGCAATACAAAGAAATAAATTCAATTTAAAAAGATACACTTGATCAGCAGCCACTTCCCCTCCCAGGTGTAGGTTAGGCCTTGACTACTTGGTTTGACTAATGAGAGCCATGTGAGGCAGAAGTTGAAAGGATAGGTTTTGTGTTACCATGTTCCCTTTCTTCCTGGTGCTGTCATGGGACAGGATTCTACTATGCTTGCTTGGCACGCCTGGGTAACAAAGATAGGATGACTTCTGTGGCGGAGAGTCCCCTGACACAAAATGATCGGACCTGTACAGTGAGTAAACCAGCAATCGGTTAACTATAAAACCCTGCGAGGTCACCAGTGGTTAACCTAAGCCTGCCACCTTGACCTCGTCAACTCTCCCTCCCCCCCAAATCCCTACCCCATGGGCACTGTCCAGCTTATGTGTTATTCACATTCACATTTTATTCAGATGCAGGATAGGAGGAGGAAACCCTAATTAGATGATTTATATTTTGCAAGATTTAATTTATTTATTGAAAAGTCAGAGTTACAGGAGAGGCAGAGGCGAGGGCACGGGGCAGA